ACTAATGTAACCTTTTAATTGTTGTAATTTTTAATAGTGAGACACTAAGTGACTAATATATCCCTGACTTTTGATTTGTTTCCTTCAATTAGCTATTGAATTGTAAATGTATTTTAAAAGTTGATAACTTTTGTATTTCTTATTGGTTTTACATATATAATATATCAAATTAATTATCTTTTGATGATCTTCGATTTGACATCCATATTGTATATATGAAATAAATAAATCATATTTATCTTTATAATAATAAAAAATAATAATATTTATTAAAATTCATTAGAAAAATCATTTTTTTTTCTCAATTGATATATTTGTGTTTAATGTAGTTATATGTTGTAAGTCAAAAAAATATTATAATATAACACATGTAAGTCGCACAAATAAAAAAGTGTCATACTAAATATACAATAATATATATATTTCTATAAAAGGTATTGAAATATTCAATTACTTTTTCTCATTAATTTTAGACTAGTACAACACCCGTGTATTACACGGGTGCTTGCTAATTTTTTTTTCTTAAAATCTAAAATTAATGAGAAAAAGTAGTTTGAAAATTTAAATACCTTTTATAAGAATATATATATTATTATATATTTATTATGACACTTTTTATTTGTGCAACTTACTTGTGTTATATTATACTATTTTTTTTTAACTTACAATATATAACTACATTACATATAAATATATCAATTGAGAAATAATTTTATTTTTCTAATGAATTTTAATAAATATTATTATTTTATATTATTATAAAGATAAATATAATTTATTTATTTCATATATACAATATAGATGTCAAATCGAAGATCATCAAAAGATGATTAATTTGATATATTATATATGTAAAACCGATAAGAAATACAAAAGTTATCAACTTTTAAAATACATTTATAATTCAATAGCTTATTGCAGGAAACAAATCAAAATTCAGGGATATATTAGTCACTTAGTGTCTCACTATGTAAAATTACAAAGAATTAAAGGGTCATATTAGTAAAAGCGATATTAAAATACCTAAGTTAACTAAATAGTATTTATGAAATACCCGAACCTAGATTATTAATTATTAATATATCAACATTATTTATCCAAACCTAATTACGAAGCATGATTCTTCGCCAAATAGGATTCCGAAGCACCAGAAACAGCCACGTAGGCTCAGCGCATTCGGGAATTATATATAGGGAGAATTTAATAAAAAAATTAGCAAGCATCCATATAATACACGGGGATTGTACTAGTATATTTAATAAAACCAAATAACTTTCTCCTTAAAAACCGCTACAATTTAGTTTTATCATCTATATTTATTGAATATATATAATTACTAACAAAAAAACTAATAAAACTATTTGTTGTTTACCATCTATTTACGTTACAATTTATTATTATTATTATTATTATTATTATTATTATTATTATTGTTATTATTATTATATTTATTTTTATTATTATTAATTCACCATACTTAATTAATATAAAATATTTCATTACATTTTATTGAGGTTAATTAAAATAAAACTGTTACATTTTATGTTAATTGAATTATAATTATATTATTAATTGTATCATGTAATAGTATTAGTAAAACTAATAACTATATTTTACATTAAATAATATATGAAAGTGACATAAACATAAAAAATTATTGTAAACTTTTTCTTCAAATTATTTATTATAAAATAAATATTATATTTCTTATTTTTTTTTTTTGTACAGGGACCTTCCGGTTTCGTGATCCACAAGGGAACCGACTAATCCGGAATCGAGCCGGGTAGGACCACAAGGGCGGCAAAGCTCTCCCTCAAAAGTTATAAAATAAATATTATATTTCTTATTTGATTTAGTGATTGTAATTTTAAATAAATTAATTTATTTTAATGTTGTAGTAAAATTCTTTAAAATCGCATAATTAATTATTACAATAAATGCAATATTTTTCAGCTAATTAATTGGTTATGATATCTCAAAATTACATTATTTATTATATTTTATGTAATTAGTACAGTGGTTCATATACAATAAAATAGTTATGTACTATTTGTTTTAACCAATGATCAAATTTTAAAACTTAATACAATTATCTAACTTATAATTATTATATCATATGCATAAATCCCCCTTATATATAAGTCCCGAATGTGCTGAGTTTACATGGCTGCTTCTGGTGCTTCGGGATCCTACTTGGCAAAGAATCATGCTTCGTAATTAGGTTTGGACAAATAATATTGATATATTAATAATTAATAATCTAGGTTAGGACATTCTATAAATATTATTTAGCTAACTTAAATATTTTAATATCACTTGTATTAATATAACCCTTTAATTTTTGTAATTTTACATAGTGAGACACTAAGTGACTAATATATCCCTGACTTTTGATTTGTTTCCTTCAATTAGCTATTGAATTGTAAATGTATTTTAAAAGTTGATAACTTTTGTATTTCTTATCGGTTTTACACATATAATATATCAAATAATCACCTTTTGATGATGTTCGATTTGACATCCATATTTTATATTTGAAATAAATAAATTATATTTACCTTTATAATAAAAAAATATCTATTAAAATTAATTAGAAAAATAAAATTATTTCTCAATTGATATATTTATGTTTAATGTAGTTATATGTTGTAAGTTATATAAAAATTATTATAATATAACACAGGTAAGTCGCACAAATTAAAAATTTCATATTTAATATATAATAATATATATATTTTTAGAGAAGGTTTTAAAATTTCAACTATTTTTTCTCCTTTTAAAGAAAAAAATTAGCAAGCACCCGTGTAATACACGAGCATTGTACTAGTATAACTTATAATACTCTATCTACGTATGTGCAAATGCACATGCTCGAATACTAGTAGATAAAAATCTCACTAAATATTCATTACCTTTATGCCATTCAATGCCACGTGTGATCTTCAAATTTATAAGGATTTAATTAGGTAAAAAAGTTCATTTAACCCTTTCTCATATGTTGTTATTGTAATCTCCCTTTTAAAAATTTTCTATATAAGGATTTTATTTATCTGGTACAAGTCCAATAGCACGATCTCATCTTCGTAACGCGATTACTGTAACATCAATACTGTGCAGACACGTGTGAGTCATTGATTGGCTGCTGCTGATACCTCACCGAAAGGTACGGTGCACCGCGTCGCATCGAGTGCATCGGCCTCAGTTTAAAACCTCGCTCTCACCTCTCCGACTCTCAGTTCCTCACAGTACATTGTGGTGATTTTCTCGTTTTTTTTTAATAAAATATTAAATAAATAAAATATTTTCCATTGAGAAGACGATAGACGTTACGTTTTCTTCCCCGGAGGCGAATTCGGCTGCTGATCGGAACAGTTATTTTCCGGCGTAGGTAGATTTTTTTTTTTCCGAGCTGAAAGTGAGTTAAACCTTTGCCCGCTATGCTACTGCATTTTATTAGGGCTGTCACTCAACTCCCTTTTGATCGAAATTTCAACTAATTTTCAATTCGTATTCTTTATTCGTTTATTGCAATGTGGGCATTTTCAGCGTATGATTGCAGAAAAAAAAGATTGCATTTTTTTTTTTTTTTTGGGTTTTAAGGTGCTGTGTATGGTGAGTGGTGACCAAGTGTCCCAGGTTGTAAAAACTGGTGTTTGCTTTGAATGTTGTAATTTATCTGGGTTTGCTCGAATTTATGCACTCTGTGTTTTCTGGCATCGTCTCTTTTTATTGCATGAGAAGGTTAATAAAATGGAGGACCAGGCTATAATTACCATTTTGTTTCCTTTGTTTTGTTTTGCACAGGTGTTTTGTCCTTAAACTGACTAAGATTTCTCCATTTGAAGATATAAGCACGTAATAATGGTGAATCTCTCAACTCAGATTTTATTAAAGTTGATTGGTGATTTTAGAGTCTGTTTGACTGGTCGACTTTTCTTGCTCTGTTTAGATATGTTTTATTTGACACCTCCTTAGAGTCAATACGTTGCTTAGAGAATATTGTTTATTCACGGTGTTGAGGTTCATTACTTGCAGTTTGTTCTATCTTGATTGGTGATTTTTGAGATGCTTTTATTGTATTCTGCAGCTTCACTTTTGCGTGCGTAAAAACTTAGTTTTGTGTTATGGTTTTTTCCGTATTTGGATCTTTACCGGTGGAATGATGTGTGTTCTTGTATTAATGTTGATAGTTTGATATTACAATGCGGCTTTTTCAGGAATAGTTTTGATTTGACTGTGTGAACTGTGTGGTTTCATGATTTAGACGTTGGTCGTGAATTAATAAATTTAACTGATCTGTAAGATCAGCACTAAGCTATATAACTATTATGCCATGCTCTAACTTGGTTCCCCATTGTCTAGGTCTAATATAACTATCTAACGTTCGTTAACCCAATATTTAATCTGTTTATGTTTGTGATCTGTAGGCGAATTGTCATGAATATTAAATATATAGAAGTAATTAGTCATTTTTGTTTATGCTAGGGGTTATTACATTATCTTGGTTCATCCTTGTGAAGTCTATGTGAAACCTCTGGTTAATGTTTTTCGTGTAACATTCTGCTGCATGCCATGCATTTGTTCTTCGAGGCATAGAGTTCCCTTCATCTATTCATTGATCACGTGAAGGGTTCCTTCTAGAATGCATTATAACACCTAAACGGTTACATTTGCTCGTAAATATATTATAGCTGTCGAAAGAAAGTGTCTTGTGTTTCATAAGGGTGAAGTTTATGAACAACATTCATTTATATGATGATAAAACCTTGCCGGTTATGGTTCTCAGCCAATTCATATATTGATTTGTTGAAAACGACTTTCGACCTTAGATCCATCGGAAACATTTATCCATCCGGATACAGGCTTGCTTTCATTTGTTCAGATGATGATTACTTCCAAATTTACCATTATTATAATAATTATCACATGGTACACTGTACTCTTTACAGAACAACAGCATTTGGTTATCCAGAGGCTCCGGTTCCTTGACTAACGGCGAAATGTCTTCTGACAAGTCAACTCGAGCAGATTACAAACGCAGTCAACCGTTTTTCTTGAGTAATTCCGAGCAAGAGCTGTTTTGCAACAAGAAGCAAGCAGTAGAATACACAGCGACAAGTTCCTTTATGAACGGCAGTTCGAGCTCTCAGTCGGGAAATCAAAGGGATATTAATTGTGTCCCTTATGACCCTAACTTCTTCCCGAACCTCGTTGCCTCTGAAAAGAATAATTCCCATGATGCCCCTGGTTCTGAGAGCCGATTAAGAAATGACTATCTAATTAGTCTAAGCATGTCTCAGGCAGCGGAAGATCCTCAGTTTCTCAACACCGCACTTCGAAAAGTCAAAGTCAACGAGGTCCCGCAGAAGAACAATAGTATAATGGGCAGCAACTTTCTGACGTCCGGTAATAATTCGATGCATGCTGAGCTGGCTAGCAAGACAAACGGCAATTTCTTGTTCAACAATCACTACTACAACTCGGCTGGCCCTCTTTACAGCAAGGACCAAAATAATTTCTTTGCAGTGAACCCATTCTATGGTAAACCAAACGAGATGTTCGTGCCTGCCGGTTTTGGTCAGGATGATGATGTCATTCCCTACACCGACGAGACAGCTGTCATTGACGAGAACTCGGACAAGGGCAAACAGAGTAAGGAGGTGAAAGTGAAGAACGGGTTGTTTAGTAATTTTCCCTTGGACGTGAGAAGCTTACTAGAAACAGGAATATATGATGGGGTCCCCGTGAAGTATGTTTCTTGGACGAGAGAGGTGAAGTGAAGTGAAATGCTACTCTTAGTTCTTTTTTTTCCATTCATAGATCGTTTTCTTTTTTTCTTTTTCTTTTTTGGGAGAGCATGATGAAAAAGAATTAAAATTGACCAGGATTCGTTTAACCTTCGCCAGACTAGCCTTAGAGGGGTGATAAAGGGTGCTGGTTATTTGTGCAGCTGTGGCGAATGCAAGCTCTCTAAGGTTCTTACTCGATTCGGTTCTTTCTTTTTCTCTCGCTTTTTTTTCCTCGTTTTCTGTTCTGATATTGTGCTTTCGACTTATGTTGTCACAGGTTGTTAGCGGTTATGCGTTTGAGCGCCATGCTGGAGGCAGGACCAAACACCCGAACAAACATATTTACTTCGAAAATGGAAAGACTATATCTGCAGTGGCTCAGGAGTTGAAGGCTACACCACCGGAAAAGCTCTTCGAAGCAGTAAAAACCGCCACTGGATCTGCAGTTCACTTGACAAATTTCCTTACTTGGAGAGGTGACTTTTATCTTGTATCTTTTTTTTTTCCCTTACCCATTATCTTTTTTTCTCCACATTAAAAAAAATGTTACTTCTAAAATGGCCAGTTTCTCAAAAATTGAAAAAAACAAAATGATTCAGATGAGTCATTACAGTGCAAGAAATGCGCGTGTGCATGATTTTGCGCTAAGTGCACGAGTAGCGCAGTTTAACTGCGGGCAATGTTTCGCCCTTTGCCATTTTTTCGAATTTGGCAGCAGAAATATATGCTTACACCAAATTTTAACCCATTTTTTCTTATTTACT